ATATCACTACTTTGATTTGGTAGTACGTTTTAAGTATATGCTAAGTATTTACGTTTACCATACACTAGACATAGTCTAGATACCCTAATACAAGATGTCTCATTAATATTGAACATTAAAAAATAAAGAGTAGATATAATGAAAATCGTGCAAATTATTAAAATCTATATTTCCAAAAATTCATACTTATTCTTATTTGTATTACAAATTCTTTCTTTGGCATTAACCATCCAATATTTTATTGTATCGATAGCTTAAGTTTCATTTACTTGCTTACATTATAATATATCCTCATTAAACCTTAAGTTCTTTGGATTCGTAAAAGGGTTCTTTTTATATATTATTAAACGTCAATACATGCCATTATTTAAATATAATTTTATAAATACAAACTGAACCATGTAATTAATTTATTTTCTCATCATCGTAATATTTTCGGCACATTAGTATTAAGATGTACTAAAATCATAAAAATATTCTAAGGTTAAATAACCCAGTCAATTAATAATTATTACTAAATAGGTAAGAAACTTCAGCGCATCCACCAAAATTTAAAATGATTATTATATAACTAGTAAGGTCCTCCACCAATTTTTTTAAATTAAATATTTTTTCGGTGTAAAATAAAATATTTAATAAATAAAAAATATTGCCTGTGTTTTCGCTGAGTATTAATAGTTTTGACACTATAGTGACAGAAATCGATGTTTGAATATAAATTTTAAATAATAATAATAACAATACACACAAGTTAAATAAATATGTATTTAATTAAATGTTCAAGTTAAAATTGTTACAATTAATACTTAATTTACTTTTATTTACCCAAAACAGTGCCATATACCCCAAAAGCTTATGTAAAAATATATTTAGACACTACCCCTTAAGCCTACCCAGTTACAAATAAATTCAAATACCAGTTCTATTCTGAAATTCGTTAAAAATCGTACAAAAATAATAATTATCTCACCATCATATATGTTATTTGAATAAGATTCACATTTATTTCAACTTTTAAAAAATTATTATTTTACCCCAAAAAAAAAAAAACTCGTCTGCGACATATCCCATCGATTCCTGTTTTTTATACCTGAATGGTGTCTTGGTTTCAGACTGACCTAACACCATCTAACTGTCAAAAATAATTGCAGTTTCAATATACCGAAACTAGTCGTTCGTTTTAGTAGACCATGTTGGGATTACATATAGATAACAATCATGTGCGTTCAGTGTGGATTACAAAACAGAACTGCGACCAGCGTTAGCCTATTAACTGTAATGACAAATAATTGGTTGGTCTAAGCGTTTATACCACACGTTATCCAATTTATTTGAACCTTCATTTTCATAACTAATTGGCTGTTGTTTGCCGTAACATTCGCAATGGTATTAGTGGAAAGCGTTGGTAATAATAAGAACATCAACATTGTCATATTTAAATATTGTTAAATAAAAATAAATAGAAAGATAATCACAGTAAAACATACATATGGGACAGAATATGCAAGCAAATGAAACAAATTGTGTGAGGACGGCAACTGTAAAATTTAAAGTAGAGGTAGGTTGGCAACAAGGTTCAGTTTTGAGTGCATTTCTGTGCTGTTTCATAATATATGAAAATATAGAAAACATACAGGTTAAAATTTGGTGGAGAGTTAAATATAGTTACTATTCGGTAATTTATTAAAAGACTAAAATAACAGGTAAGGTGGGTGAAAAAAAGTTGTGTTAGAAATTAGTAGAAAGAGTAACTAGAATTGCAGGGACAAGCTGTTACACCTAGTTTGGTTCTATTTGTTAACAACTGTAAGGGACTAAGTGTCACAAGCTAAATTGTTAGTAAAAGCGGAGGTAATCCAAAATTAAACTGTGCAGAAAGGATTTTCAAAAAACGAGATATTTGTACCATTGCATAGAGCATAACGTGCACTACAATATGACCGCAAAATCCAAAAGGTTCCTTTTCAAGTTACGCAAATGTATTATTTTAAATAGTTGAAAAACGATTGGGGCTTATAATCCAAAAAAACTAGAAATGCGATTTCCTTGGTTTTATCTTGGGAAAAAATTTGGTTTTTATTTATCATAAATATTTTGTATTTTGGTTTACGCGTCAATAAGACCATGAATGAAAATATTATAAACTAGTAGTTTAACATATTGATTTTTGTTTTGTTTTTGGTTTTCTGATTTTGTAGTTAATAAACTAGTAATGAGACAAATATAGAACTCTTTTACTTCAGTGAACCATCATCAGAGGATACAATGAACATACGAAGGTAATTAAAAATTGTATTTTCGTCTGCACGTAAATCTTCCATTAAGAAAATGAATGGGTCCACTTCATCTCTTTTCTGATTAATTGGTATTGAAAATTCAAGTAATTCTCAACGGTAGTTAAATTCAAATTTACCGGCTAAATTTTCAATGCCCGATGAATATGCACCAACTCAGCTCCCTGTAAAAATGCGGGAAATAACGGTCAAGTATTATCTGCTCCTGGCGATAGAGGACGGATGTGTCCCGAACGGCGTCAGTTATAAAGCAGTTTTACCCTAAAAAAAGTTGCAATAATCACGTGTGTGTCTTAGTGTAGATACCCATAAATACACCCTTTTAATGTGGCGATATCCTAAATCTCCAAATCCCCAAAGTAACTCATTTATTCGGTGGCTACGAGAAGCCGGTAACATATCAGAATCGCATCGCATATATCAGTGAAAGTATTAAGTACTATTATAAAAAGTGTGAAGTGCAGTGTTCAAAGGATTACATGTAAAAGCTTGGTACTGATATAATAAAAAGTCTGGAAGTACCACGATTTTATTAGCTAAGTCAATTAAGCATTGTTGCCAGATTGTGTGCTGAGTCGCTTGGCTCTTATGTAAATATTATTAACTGTTTTTCCAATACTGAATATAGTAGTTATTTATAAACAGTAATATTTTATTCATATATCCCTTTCCCCCCCCCCCCCCCCCACCTTTCAGTAACCTTATTTTAAAAAAGTAGTTTAAAATCGAAGCATCATGTGCAGCCACGAGTCGTTGTCCACCGCTTAATACAGTCCACTTTTTACTTAAACTACGCATTTTAGACCATGTCCTGCACAATTGGGTAACCTAGTATATACGATTATATCGTTTCCGATACTTTTGTATATGACGGTACAAAATCCACATGGCAATGGTGCGCTTTCGATTCATGTCGGTAACCAACTGACATAAAATACAATAGCTAAAGACGGTTTACGGAAAAGAAAACCGTCGAGTGTGAATTCTACCAAGACACGGAAAAAATTCGTACGAATTTTCTCCGTACGAACAAAACCGTTGTGTCTGAAAGAGCCCTAACAGTATCTCTTTCCGTACCGCTCTGTATATCCCATCATAACATTATAACTAATATAGTTTATAGTTTATTATAGTATCTGACAATTTTAAGCAAAAAAGTTCATACTAACACTTAAATCGTAACACGAAATACGCAACAAGTATCACGTAGCAAATAAAAACTAAAAAATAACACGTAACACGTAAACATTGACCGAAGTCGATCAAAAGACAACTAATTAAGGTGAATACAGCACCCTTTATAATTTTCAGACAAGGATAATTCAAAAAGTAGTTTTATTAAAAAAATTAAATAAATTAGATAATATTATCTAGATATGCCTTTATTTTAAAGTTTTAATTCCTTTCAGTTTACCATTAATTTTTTAAAATATTTAATAAGTATTACACTACTAATAATATATTTATTTGATATCCCTATTTCAGAGGTCATACATTATACAGCATGTCCCAAATTATATAACAGAGACAGGTTATAGATCCCATAATTTTAAGCAAAAAGGTTTATATTAACATTGGTCCGATTTCCATCAGTAGCAAAGTTACTGGTGGTTCAAAATTTATAGAAATAATACATTTTCAGTCGCACGCTAATGGTGAAATTTGATTAATTCTTAGTTTTTTTAATTAGTTATCTAATTTTTATATCTCTTGAATTTTGATTGAATTTTGATTTATGTTTACGTGTTACGTGTTAATATGAACTTTTTTGGTTAAAATTAACATAAGTTAATATATTATAAGACATAAAAATATGGTTGATCTTTTGTTACGATCTAAACACAATTGAGTAATTTTTTTTAAAACCTTGTTTAGCTAATTTCGTAGTGTAAACATAAAAAGTAACATTTTTATTTCGTAACACCGTAACGAAAAAAACCTAACATCCCCCACTCCGACCGGCGCAGCGCTACGGCGTTATAGCCATGGAAGGTTTTATCCGACCCTATTCGTATTAGTATGAAGCGGAGTTAAATATATGTCTGCGGACTGGAACGTTTATGCAATACAAGAACTAGAAGTTAAGTAATAATGATACTTTTATAGTTTTTAAATCATATATTTATGTGATTCCATTAAATTACAATGTAGGTGTCATTTGACATGATAAAATTTTGTTTCTAATTTATTTTTGTTTAATTAAAAAGTAATAATTCGTAAATATTTGTAATCAAATGATCAAATGTTATATATTAGTATAAACGATTCCAAACTTATATCAAAATGTGCTCGGTGGTGCAGAGCGTCCAATGGTCAAAATTTGGATAGTGTGGATAGCAAAGTTGGTGGTTCGAGCCCCGAAACTTTTTGTTTTTTTTTTTGTTTTGTTTTCCTTAAAAATAAGGAAAATGTGAAATATTTGGAGTACGCCCCTGGCATACTGACGTAAACCAAAGTGCAGTGCGCGTTGATAAAAAAAGGCATTCGTAATCTGGCTGCCTTAGCGGACAGCAGAACAGATGTTTTGACGACCTGACCGACATTTTAATAGATTTCGAAAATATTTAAAACCTGCAGTTAATCATATTATTTTATTCAGATTAAGATAAAAACTTTTTAAAAATACCACGTAACTGATATAGGACATCCGTAGTTAGATATAAAATGTTATAAAAAGAAATGCAATACTTTTATCCTAAGTAAAGTTCGATTACAGCAAAATGTACAAAGTCAGTTGTTTTTTGGTTCTTCTTATCATTGCACAAGTTTATTGTGACAATGTTCATTTCGAAGAGAGTGGTAAGTGAAATACCAAATTTATTTACCAGGTAAAAGTAAAATGGGGAAACTTCGACATGTTTGGAGCATATTTTACCTTCTCCACAAGTCACTTTAGAACCATCGCTCATATGCCATTACGACATTTGATGTGTTTTAGATTCTGTACTAAAAAATTGTTTTCTCCCATCCTTCTTCACCCTTTTTTAAAGTTATTTTTGGTGTCGAAGTTACCCTGGCCAAGGGGTAACTTCGACACGATATGTAAATAAGGAAAATTGGGAAATTAAGCTGCCTTAGAGTAACTTCGACATAAAAAATGTAAAAATTATAATAACTAACGAATCATAGGTATTATTAAACAGTTTTTGAGATCTAAATAGAGTAAGTCAGCAAAAATCATATTTTTAATTTTAACTCATTAAGGAGGTCCTTTCGCCACACCTCTCGCCCCAAATGTTAAAAAAAAATTTATTAGATTATGACTAAAATAAATTTTTTTCTAATATTCCTTATTTATCTAATACTGAACTTTTAACTATACCTTGCCTTGCAAATTTTTGCGAATTTTTTTTTTAAAAATGTGAGTGTTTGTACAGTGCCTCACGAGAAAGTAAGTCCTCAACAACAATTCCGAAGATATTCGATAAAATCCGAAAAACCTCATTTTCGTTTTTTAAGTCGTGCGTTGTTATAAAAGATACAAAAAAAATTATACGAAGTTTTTGTTATAAATCAAGTTCCCTATAATCTGCCATGTCAAAATTTTTATTACGTCGTTTCGTATTTGCAGGGCCACCTTCAACTTTTTTTTTAAATGCGGACCTGGATTTTTAACTATAATTTTTTATAGCTTTTGTATAGCTAAATACAACGATGTGTTACACTTTACCATTTTACTACGTTTTGTCTATGAAAATATCATCAGCTACTTGATTAAAACAAGACAGCTAATTAAATAATAATTAAAAAACAAAAAATGCTTAAAATGTTAAATTTTAATGGCAGATACTGGGAGTACTGTTAGTCGAAGCATTGAAGCAAAAAAGTTCAGAAATTTTTAGACTAAGACGGATCAGAATGCGATTTTTTGCATTCGCTTACAAACATTTTTTGTGGGACTCTCTCGAAATTCGCGCGGGGAAGGAGAGAATCTCGACGCCCGGGGGTTTTTTGGGTCGCTAAATTCAAATAATGCATCGCCGAACACCCCTCCAGATACCTAGTGTGCCGGAACCTGGACGTGGACGTCCATCCTGAGAATTTTCCTGACAAGATCGCCAAAAACAACCCGAAAATCACTGTAGGGTCGTTTTTTGGGGCGCTTAATACAAATTTTACGTCGAAAACGATCTTCCGAACATCTAGTGCCCCGGAATCTGGCTCTGAACGTCGTCTCCGAGGATTTTCCTCACACAATCGAAGAAGGCGAACCCAAAATTGTTTAGGGGCAGTTTTTTGGGATTTTCCCAACACCTGGTGCACCGGAACCTTGGGCTGAACGTCGTCTCCGAGGGTTTTCCAGACACGATGGCAAAAGACTAACCGAAAATCGTCTCATAATTTCACACATTCATTGATGTGTAACTCTCGCCTGGGATCCTCGACAAGGTTGATCCAGTCCTGTAAAATTCTAAATGCCGGGTTTGAATAGAGTAAGGAGAATTGCGGCTTGATCTCCGAACTATGTCAAGTGGCCTTTCACTTTTCTCCCAACGCTCGAAACGCTTTTGTGTAAGTATACACAGAAACTTTCTCCTAAGTTTAAGCCCCGCACAGCAACGTCCAGGTTCGGGCGCACTAGGTATCCGGGAGGTGTTCGACAATGCCATATTTGAATTCAGCGATCCAAAAAACCCCCGGGCGCCAGGTTTCTCTCCTTCCCCGCGTGCATTTTGGAAGAGTCCCACAGAGATGACGTTCAGGGCCAGCTTTCAGTGCACCAGGAGTTGGAGGGGTCATTTTCGACGGGAAATTCGGATTCAGCTCCCCAAAAAACCATCCATAACGATTTTCGGTTAGTCTTTTTCGATTGTATGCGAAAAACTCACGGATATGAGGTCCGCGTCCACGTTCCTGTACACCAAGTGTTCAGGGGGTCGTTTTCGACGTGAAATTTGGATTCAGTGCCCCAAAAAAACGTCCTGACAGTGATTTTCGGGTAGTTTTTGGCGATCTTGTCAGGAAAATTCTCGGGGATGTGGTCCACGTCCAGGTTTCGGCACACCAGGTCTCCGGAGGGTGTTCGCCGATGCCATATTTGAAATCAGCAACCCAAAAGACACACGGGCGCCGAGTTCCTCTCCTTCCCCGCATACATTTTGAGGAGTCCCACGGAGATGACGTTCATCGGCGTTCCTATGCTCCAGGTCGGCTGTGGGTCAATTTGAACATCATAATCGTGATCAGCGACAAAAAAACGTCTTCACAGTGATTTTCGGGTTGTTTTTGGCGATCTTGTCAGGAACATTCTCGGGGATGTGGTCCACGTCCAGATTCCGGCACACCAGGTCTCCGGAGGGTGTTCGCCGATACCATATTTGAAATCAGCAACCCAAAAGACCCACGGGCGCCGAGTTCCTCTCCTTCCCCGCATAAATTTTGGGGAGTCCCACGGAGATGACGTTTATCGGCGTTCCTAAGCTCCAGGTCGGCTGTGGGTCAATTTGAACATTATAATCGTGATCAGCGACCTCTAAAACCTCCGAGAACTCGATTTGGGCAAGTTGTGACTCTTATTTACAAAGTTCTTTAATCTTCCAAAAGCCGTCTAAAAAAAAAGCGTTTTTTTAATACATTTCTGGTTGCAGCACTGCAATTTCCGGTTTGTATAAGATAAAAAGTAAGGACATTTTTTCAAAAAATGTTTTTAAGAGAATGCAAAAAACCGCATTCCAATCCGTCTTAGTCTAAAAACTTTTGGCCTTTTTAGTGCTTCATTGCCTCGACGATGTATATCGAGAGAGCTTTGATTTTAACTGCATGGTACAAAACTTAAAATGCAACAACACTATTATAATTTATTTATATTTCTTTAAAGTGTTCACAATTTATCTTCATTGTCCATATATCTAATTAATGACTTTTAGTTGATCCTCCACCAATATTTATATACAAATTGGTGATCCTCCACCAAAATTACCGAAATATATCAGAAACGTTATCACGATAACTCAGGAATGTTCGCGAAAGTGCCTCCGCCATAGTCGTCACATATGTTTAGTCTTAAGGGGTTTAATTATGTATAATAATCGGACAAGTTGAGCCTCAACGGCCAAAATAAGACAGAGAGGGACTTGGAGGATTAGAGCATAACTGAATAATGAAATGGCTCACATTACAGTACCTTTATTGTTTTGCAATACAGAACAATGGTATAAAGTTATTTTTAAACAAAAGTTATATTCAAATGTGCAATTACAGTCAAATAGCATGAAAATTTAGGTTAGGTGATTATTTACATTTTGCATCATAAACTATTTGTAGTTATAAATTAAATAATCACCAAAACTTAATTTTAATGCTAAATGGTTGTAATTGCATATTTGAATATAACTTTTAATTCAAAATAACTTTATGACATTCTTCTGTATCGTAAAAAATACAGGTACTTTACTCTTGAGTAAAATTCATAATTTTCGACAAACCTCGTATACGGCTTAAAAAAATTGATATCTGATGATTGCATTTTAAGTTTTGTACCATGCAGAACTTTTTATCAGGTATAAACTTTTTCACAAAACCAATAATAAAAAAGTTTTCCACATGGTTCCAACTTGAGTAGATACACTGTATACAGGGTATACCAATAAAAACTCCCGGCCAGATATTTTGGTAAGTAATAGAGATATTTTAATTCCGTAAAAGCCAGTTAATAGAGCGCTAATGGAGCTTCAGTTTTAGATATAAATTAATTTTAAATAGGTCAAATATGTAGATAGCGCTGTGCTCAATATTGTTTTTTCGATGGGAGGATCTTTCTTATATAGCGCATCTTGTAAAAAATGCATTTTTAAACAAATTTTGTTCTATAAACTAATTCGATAAATCTAGCCATTTTTGATATACAGAGTGGGTCACTCAAAATAGTTTCATCCTGTTTTTTGGCATTAATCATTAGATTTTTAGAAAAAGCTAAAACAGGTTGGTTTTTATTCCAAATTAAACACATTTTTCCAATGCAGACATTTGTCATGTGTCAACCCCCTCCCTTCCTCTTCTCCAACTCCTTAATTTTTTATAAGGAATGTACAATGTATGGCTCATCATTAAAAAGGTAATTTTATGGGGAAGTATTTAATATGACTGTTTATTGCAATACTCTTAATTTTAGCGACCTCTATCGGGATAATAAAACTTGTAACGTATTATAAAGTGTGACACTTCATTTGAAAGCTAATTTAATTACTAATTCAATGCACCACATAACATTAATATAAATAATTCCATATTGCACTTGCAACAAAATAAAGTTAGCAATATTGATTAAAATAATGCATGACTAATTTTCAAACTATTACAAGTGCAATATGGAGGATAATTATATTAATTTTATGTGGTGCATTGAATTAGTAAATAAATTTGCTTTCAAATAAGGTATCACACTTTATTATACGTAGTTTTTTATCCCGATCGAGGGCGGTACAAATAAAAGTATCGCAATTAACAGTCATATTTATAAATTCGCCATAAAATTACCTTTTTAATGATGTACTACACATTGTAGTGTCACACTCTATAGTACGTAGTAGTTTTTTATCACGCTAGAGAGCGATAAAATTTAAGTAGCGCAATGTTCAGAAATATTTCTGAATCCACCATTAAATTACCTTTTCAATGATGTGCCATACGTGGTACATTACCTATTTAAAATTCAGGTGTTGGAGAAGTGCAAGAGAGGTGGTTGACACATGACAGATGTCTGTATTATAAAAATGTTTTTAATTTGGAATAAAACTCGACCTGTTTTAGCATTTTCTCAAAATTCAATGATTAATGCTGAAAAACAGGATGAAACTGTTTTGAGTGACCCACTCTGTATATCAAAAATGGCTAGATTTATCGAATTAGTTCATAGAACAAAATCTACTTTAAAATGCATTTTTTACAAGATGAGCTACACAAGAAAGATCCTCCCATCGAAAAAAAATTATTGAGCGCAACGCCCTCTACATATTGACCTATTTAAAAGCAATTTATATATAAAACTGTAACTCTCTTAGTGCTCTGTAAACTGGCTTTTACAGAATTAAAATATCTCTATTACTTACCAAAATATCCGGCATGGGAGTTTTTATTGGTACACCCTGTATACAAAATGTCCCAAATTATCGTTAATAAGCAATATCTCCCTTATTTGAAAAATAAATAAAAAACTGTATTTAATAGCATTACGATAACTTTTTTATGCCTTTCTTAAAAAGTTACTTTTACAATCCTTAGAAAAACAACTTTAGCACTCATTTTTTCTTTCTTATATTTTCAGCTTTTTAAATTTTTCTTTGATTTGTTTTCACTTTGGGGGTTTATTTTTCATAATTTTGTAGGAAAAATTGGAGATTATTCATTTTCATATTTCTAAAATTACAGTTGGAAAGTGTATATTATTTTTATAATAACCATTTTTGAGGTTTTATCGTAATGAAAGTAATTTAGTTTTATTTATTTAATTATAAATTGTTTATTTCAGATTGCTTAAAACCGCACACCCTTTCTGGACCAATTTGTGGGGAATATATAGTTCGTTTTTATTGGAACCACAAAGAAAAAAAATGTGAAAGAACTATATACGGAGGTTGCAGAGCTACCCGTAATAATTTCGCTACAATGGACATTTGTCAAGAGGTCGCTGGTACTATTTGCAGTCAAAGTTGAACGAGAACACCCACTTGCACTATGATTTTGGATAAAAATAAAATCAATGAATTTGGATATATTTTTTTAAATATATAATTTGATTAAAATTATAATAAAAATAGTCTTATTTATCCTAAACATATATCAAGATAAAGACGCACCCTATACTATAAGCAGATTTTTCTTTGATAAATCATACTTCAGGAGTTTGAAAATTCTTGTTTTTTTTTTTTCTAAACGATAATTCTTTTTTTTAATAAAATACTTGAGATATATATTTATGGAAACTCTCAATTTCCATAAATAATATAAATTGGTTTTTCTCACTCGCGGCGGTTGCCTCAATGCCAGCGGGAAACGTCAACACTTTACCAAATGTGGAAACATGGAAACAAGATCCTGAAAAATTGAAATAAAACCAATCCCTCTACGACAAGATAATAACATCGCGGAAAAACTCAATAAAATGAAAAGAGCAGTTCAGGGACGTTCAAATAATTGACAGATGTGAAAAATGCCGACAGAGTAATTTATATCGCTTCTTAAGATTTATAACGAAACTGTTACAATATTTATACTTCGTATTCAATATGTCTCAATAGATGATTATATAGGGCGATTCAAAAATGATGGTTGGTTAATTTTTATTTTGTGTTATTTATTTATTTATTTATTTATTATAATATTCCTTACATACAATTTACAATAATTGTATTAAGAATGGTCAAAAATGTATCCTAATTCTAAATCCTAACCTAAGCCTAAAAAGATATAACACAAATATTATTTGAACAGACAAAATTAATTAGAATCAATGTAAAAATGATTTAAAAAGTGAGATATTATTGACTAGAATAACTAACCTTTAGAAAAAAGATAGTTTTTTAATTATCTCTTCAATTGTTGTATTAGTAGGTTTTTTTTTTTAGTTTATATGGCAACAAATTTTAAAAACAACGAAGATCTGCAAAATTTGGCGATTTAAATACTAAAACTTTTTTGATTAATAAATAAATAGATAAATAAATTCTTTATTGCCCAACAGATATAACATCCAAAGATAGGACAAAATATAACATTAATAAATTTTAAAAGTACTAAGATAGTAATAAATAATAATAACTAGAGCTAGGAATATATGCAAAACGCCATATTTTGCGTATGTTGCATATATATACAATTTTTGATTTTGAATGCATATATTGACATTTTGTTAATTTTTTGGCATATATCTGACATACTAATTGGCTGGACATATTAAAATTATGAGTTTTGGACCAAAATAATATTTTGTGAAATGCCTTTACGCCCATCTTGTTCCCCAAGGAACTCCTGGTATTTTAATGCCTTTTATAGTTTGTATTGAAACAATTAGTAATGTGATTCGACCTGGAACTTTAGCAATTCGACTATTTCCTAAAATTTTGAAGGATTAATTTTTCTGAAATAAAATGAATTTAGCTTAAAGCCAGAATATCAAATAAAATACAACGACCGTTTCCCCTTAAAAAAAACAACAAGTCCTTTGGCTAATACCACAACAGGCATTGAATTACATCCCTGTAATGGTGTAGGTACTTGAGAGGATTAAATTATAAACACCCTCCTTAAACCAACAAATTTTGCTAAATATCCTTTCAGGTAGTTGTATTAATATCTTTAAATTTCTAAATGACTCAGTTTACTTTCAACTTCATTTCAGTCTTTATTGTTGCGTTGTGTTAACCAGTGGGAAAAATGGCAAAATTAATTGAGTCGTGGGTAAATTCTTATTCAGATTTTGTTGTAGAAGGTGATAACCAGGTGTTTTGTAAAACATGTTCTAAAATTGTAAGTACTTTTTTATTTTATATTTTATTTTGACCTTTCACAACGGTAAATCAAACCACAGTAAAATATTATTTCAACTCACAGTTTAAAAAAAAGTAGGGCAACTTTACAACGTACGCATTTATTTAATTTAATTAAAACTTCAACATCTATAGGAATTTATTTGTTTTAGATTCTATGTAAAAAAAGGTTTCAAATCGACCAACACGCGAAAACACTCTCAGATATATGTTACGTGAAATTAATTTTAAAAAACTTTCAAATTTATTTTTAACAACAACTTCTCCATAACTCCTCGTAACACAACATCGGTCGTATCATTGTTACCATTATCGATTTTTACAATGCATCGTCTACGCATGATCTGCTAATATCGGCGCATAGACCGTAGCGATTCTTTAAGTCAGGAGTTCATATGAAACCTAAAAGGTGAATTGGTTTTTCCTTTTCTGGTGTTTAAAGTCAAACAGTGCTAGCGTACCGATAAATTTAATAAAATGAATTGCTAGTAATTATCTTTCTCTAATTTCTGTTTATTAAGTGTGATCGTTGGGATAATTGTCAGGTAAATGTTTTTCTTTTATTCCCATTTTGCTGGATTTCGTTGCAAAACCGAAGGTCCGCCATATGCTTTTTTTTTATTTACTACCATGCTGGAAAAAGCCGGTTACTATATTTTATTTCATTTTATATAGTTTATAGCTATCCTAACTAATCATATTTTTTAAGCTTTCTTATATATATATTAATATAAATGTGTTATCATTTAATTACTTTGATATATACGCGGGGAGGCAACTAAATAATTGAATTACAAGTCATTTTGGAAATACAGTTTAAACGGAAATTTATGGCTCCTAACTTATTTTTGCCTTATAAATATTTTATATTCTGTTCAGGTAATGTAACTTAAATATTTGTCGTGATATTTTATATTCTGATGTAACTTTGATATTCATCCCGTTTATCCATAAAATCCGTTAGATTTCCAAATTGGCATGTATATGTAGTTTTACACACGGTACTCAGGTTCTTTTATTTTTAAACCTGTAGTGGCTCCTCTCAGTATCCAAGAAGTACTCCTCCCAGTATCCAAGAATATGTACTCCTCCCAGTATCCAAGAAGAAGTACTCCTCTCAGTATCCAAGAAGTACTCCTCTCAGTATCCAAGAAGTACTCCTCCCAGTATCCAAGAAGCTTACAACAACTCTACTCTACCTCTAAGTACTATCTCCAAGACGAAGAGGCTACTCTACTCTACCTCAAGTACTGTCTTTAAGAAGAAGCTCCTCCAGGAAGCTCCTAGTTGCCGCTAGCTAAAATAAAAGAGAAGTACCGTATCTACGTACAAAAATACCACCATCATTGAGTAAATTCAGTCAATTTAAACAATCATCAACTCATTCAACTATTTAACTATTTGACTATTTAACTATTTAACTATTTGACTATTTAACTATTTGTCTATTTAACTTATGTAAGATTAATCTCACTTTTTTTATTAAATGTATTAAATGTTCTCATTTTCTTTTATTTGCCACAACCCTTACAGATAACTTTAAGTACCAGAGACGGACTCAATTAAACGGGACATTTAAAATTAGATAAGTTTTCCAAGTAACTGAAAAACTTGGTGGCGCTCAACTCTTTTTGTTGTTGTCTCATTTTTAATATCTTATTTCTCATTTTATCTTAAAGTAGATCTTGGCCCGCGAACAGGTCAAGCTACTCTAATTTTACTTGTCCTGGTCAATTTTTTTGAATCCACACACATCAGCAATTTGAGCTAAATCACTTATCAAATAAATTAACAACTTAGAAATCTAGAAAAAAGGTAACATATAGCAAAGCAGAAATCTAAAGACACTCGCAGACAAAGTCAACTTCCCTTGAAACAATATTTAGAATCTGGATCGTCTAGAAGTGAACAAGCTATTTTTAATGAAGATTTATGCAAAGCTTTAGTGACTTCGAATATCCCTTTAATACGATTAAATAATCCAAATCTCCGATAATTTTTGTAAAAATACTGTAAATCAAAGAAGAATATGAGTATGTAGTATTACCCTCTTTACAACCCATTATAATTCAACCAAATGATGACTCTAGTTCAGAGGATTCAGACTGCCATGATTATTTATAAAGTTACTTTAGAATTGAATTGTTTTTTTTTCTTTTGTTTTATTTGCAAAGAATTTATTTTCCTTTATGGTTTTTTCTTTGAAATTTCGTTTTCCAGAAAAAGAACGAATGGGGTACAAAAAGGGTTCAGTTCACGTCTAGTACCCTGTTTAAACCAAACGCCCTTACAGACAGGTACACTTTACTCGCTTTTTTACGTTTTATAATTTATTATTCAGTTGTAGCAAGTTAACGAGCTATAATAATTTTTTTTTAAGTCCAAGTAAGATTACAATTAAGTGCATCTGTCTAAATAAGGGCGTATAATAACGTCCAATTTATAATTATTCGATTTCCTTTTAACGAATACTTTCTTGCATATGATATATATTAAAAGTATTAATAAAATAAATTTATAAAATGAGGTAGGTATCTACGCCTATGGCAGATCAAACAAAATTGTCGGTAAAGCTTCCGAACGAGTTTTTTTGATCTGCAATTGATAATGGAAGAACTATAATAAGATAGTAATAAATAATAATAACAAAATAAATAAATAGCTTAAAGTAAAAATTAAAATTATAAATTGAGATTGACTATGCGCAAAACATCACAATTCAAACATAAATTATTAACATTTTGGCATATAATATACAATGTGTTCGATAAGTACGGTACAAATTTTTTAAATAATTCCAAAACCACTTGAGATATTTTAATTAAATGTTTGCAGCTTTTGAGAGTTAGCAACATTGCGTGTTTTACTGTTAACACAGTGGCTTTCGTTTAACCAGTGGCGTGCGGACAAGGTAATAGCTGAAAAATGTGGAAGGAAAAACGTGTTACACCGCTGTTCTTTTTCAATATTTAGTTTTTTGATTGTTCGATTTGGAAGAAAAAAAGTCCCTTGACTTTTTTTATGAATAATTACAGAGCCATATAAATAATCACTTATAACAAAGAATCAACGCAAATATTGAAAATGGCCACCATCTGATAAAACGCACGATTCCAATCGTCTCCTCATTGATTGTCTTACTCTTTCAAAAACTCCTGGAGTATTTCTTATGGTATTACA